GTTCCTACACGGAACATGACGGAAAAAAATATTATTTATAATTATATTTCATAAATTAATATTACATGAAATATGCTATATTTTTTTGTAATAAGGGTAAAAATGTATTAATATACAAATGTATACATGATATATATTTAATTGTAACCATGTACAGTATTTTTTTTTATTTTTGTAAGAGAAAATATACAATCGATATCAGATTTAGTGAGTACCTATACATGGGTTAGGTGTATATGTATATATGTGAGTTAAGAAAACAATAGAACATGAGTTACGTAATATGAGGAAAGAAGCCACTCAGTAATGACACTTTTAAAAGTGGCGTCATTTCAGTTTTTATGAGAGGGGGCAAACGTTTTGAAAAGCACAAAAGGGTAGGTAACTTTAAAAAAAAACCGCTCGTAAGAACAAAATATATTATGTTCCTTTTCCTTCATAACACATAAATACATACCAAATTGCATGCACGTCCTTGCGTGCGACGTGCGTCTAAATATAAATATCAAAACATATTCCAACAATTAAAAGTAATTAGGTACCAATTTTTAATTTATCATTGAGTGACAATTATTTCTTAGTAGGTACACAATTTAATATTTTTTTAAATATTTAAAAAATAGTCATGTTTTTGCGCTCATGAAATATATAATAATACCCCAAGATATAGGGACATTACACCCAATATTCTTAATAACATTTGGTTTAGCAAACTAGATATGCATAGATCACATATTCACATTTCACATATTACGCAATTGTCGCAATTTAACAGATTACGCATAGGACATTTTCTATTACCTAATCATTCGTTCAAACTTGGTTTAAACAACTCTCCATTTTGTACACTTTATCTCAATGAGTGTACTTGTGATCCATCGACCTTCCCTGCTCTGATATCCGAACGTCTAGTCTTAATTAATTCTCTTAGATCTTTAAATTGTCCCTTTAATATCCATTCTATTCTCAATACTAATTTCATCTTCACTATTAAAAGTATTAATACATTTATTTTGGATGCTGGTTTCATTATATACATAATTACCTATGTGCTTAATTTAATTTAATTTGTACTCTTCTATTATATAACTGTTGAGCTATATTAATAAAATATATATAAATATATATATATATAATACACAGAAACCTCGTCGGTATCTCGAAACTTCAGTCTCTATAGAGTATAGGTACCGAATTTTTTTTCAGTCCCGATCATTCAATCTCGTATCTTAAAAATACATCGGTAGGTAACTCGAAGTTTCGATAGGTAGGTACATCAAATTTTTGTTTGGTTACTCAACACTTCAAAATACCGAGGATCCACTGTAGGTAATGGTTAAACAAGAACAACCGGGCACCGCCCCAGCCAAACAATAACCCACGTTGCCACCCCCTCCCACCCAAATGACTTCAATTTCATTTAGGTATTGTGTACTTGTTAGATTACTGTATTATATTCCTAATGGAGCGATGAATGTATTGATTTAACAATGATGCATATTTCTGTAAATGTCAATAAAATTGTATTCGTTGGGTCAAAAGGCTTGAAAATTGAATCCAAGTCTCCTAAAGTCCTTATATATTGTTACTATAGGAGTTGAAAAATATTAAAAATACGGAAATAGGAAAAAAAATCCCCAAAGCTATCCCTAAATGTTGGATACAACTGTCAAAAATAATAAAAAATATATGAAATTCGAATGATAATTATGATAATATATAGGTAGGTCAGACCTTAGTTCTGCATAAAATTAAAAAAAATTAGGTCTAAGAACATATATTTTACAAGTTTATAGTATTAGTTCGCTTGCGTATGTTATTACTGACAGCTGTTAAAAAATCTCCAATGGTCAAGTTATTTTCATTTTGTCTTTTAACAAACTTTTTTAGTCGGATGTTGACAGTATTATAATGGCCTCTTTTCGCACTACTCTCTACGGGTTTACCTAAATCATTCAATGCTAACTTGGTTGATCGGCTTGACCTTTCATTTTTAATTATTTTTATCAGTTTTCAAATTTAATTAAAGTATTTTAAAGTATATTATTATATTTTATACACACAATGACTTATCAAAAGAAATTTTGTTGGCAAAAATGAATTTAACCTAGTGTTAGTACTAGTGGCTTACTGGCTTATAGTAAAATAAATAACTTTATTTACAATAATATCAAAATATACTGAATAATATTATAGGCTGATTGACCGTCTTCACTTAGAATTTTTTTTCGTGTACAATGAATAATGATTTTATATCATTGAATTCAAATTTAACACCATCCATTATAGTGACCCACTTGTAAGGTGCTGCACAGCAGAGCGACTTAACCGCTTTTTTTATTTTAGTTTTTTCAAAGTCATAAACCTCTCCATGCCCTCATTAGTCTTACGTAGATGTTTTTAATTGAAAAATGTTGTATTACACACGAAAAATAATATGGAAACAGACTGTGCACAATAATGCACTTGGGTGTAAACAAATTATACAATTTACAATTTTTTGGGATATTTAAAAATAGCTACCTACCTATAGTTTTTGTGATTTGGTTTTCATTGGACGCTTCTGCTATGTTTAGTGCATTTACCAAGTGCGTGTTGAAGTATATTAAGTACACTCCTCGTCTCTTCCACTATTTAGTACTTATTGTATTGTATTGTTTTGGTTATTGGTTTGTGTCATGTCACATGCAGTCTCTAAAATATCCAAATGTTCGTATTACACATATACACACATAGTCATGAAATTTGAATCGATCAAATATAAATAAAAAGTCGATGCTCTAAAACTAGCACCAATATACCAACTTTTTTATTTAAATAAAGCGGAACCTCTATTTGGCAAACTTGCAGAAGGTTATTTAAAAACAATTTTGAAATAGAAGTGTTGTTGAAAAGAAATGTTTTTTGTCATTTATAAGACTAATTTTAAGAGTACAAAATGCATGTCAATAATAATAGGTATTTTATAATATTTTTAAATAACTAAAAATTAAAAAATTATTTAAAAGTAAATTATGGTATTATTTTGGACCTTATTGAATATTATGTAGACCCCCTGCAGGCTCAACTGGGGTGTGGGCCCGGGCATGTCCCGTTTCCGCCAATTCCTATTTGGGAACCATGTCAATTGTTACATATTATTATCGTTATAAATTTTAATACAAGTAGATAATAATATTAGTCGAATATAGACACAATTTTATTAGTTTTTAAAATATTATATAGTCAAAAATATATTAAAATATAGTCTCAATAGAGTTTTGAAAAACCGCATATCATCATTTTTAAATATTTAAAAATACTGCAATGCTGAATGCTCTACTAGGTAGTAGTAGTGGTACTTATGATATAATATATATATATATATATATATATATTTATATTTATATATAACCTACCGCCTCTTGGACATTGTGGAATAGAGTAAAACACAATAGGTACCTACTACCTAGTCTAATATTAATATATTATTACTTATTAGTCTTGAATATATAGAATATAGATGAATATGTCTTGCATTTTAAACTGTAAGTTGTATATACATAATTTTTCAAGTTGATACTGTTTGTTTTTTCGCACTGTTGTCTGTCCGTACTAAAATATTATCGTGATACTTGCAATATAGCGGTAAATGTACTTTCAGAGTATCTGATTTTCGCGGTAACGACCTGATAATACAATTTCGGAGTAATGTAACGTCGAATTTGTTCGTAGCAAACACCGCAACCCGGTACAGTCGGGCCCATAGACCAAGACCTATGGGCTATGGCCGGCCACCGGGTCATTGAGGGAGCGCTTCTGGGCGGCGACCAAAACTCGTTCGATCTCGCGCATTGCCATCACTAAATATAGCTAGATGGTAGAATGGGAGAAATTTGGGTACGAAAACGCGGATGTCAATCACTTGTATGCTCGAAAGAGTAGCGCCTTTCAGTGGCCAGAGTACACAAGGTAGTAGATTCCTTGCATGTATGATGTTCGGTACCATGAATAATATGTATACCAATCTTAATTTATATTTAATAGTATATCTTAATTTCTGTTACATGTCTCTAAATATTTCGCAATGAAAATAGTTTTATTGTAGTTATGTAACACAAGTATAGCAAAACAAAAGTTCACCAAGAAAGATTTTAATATTGAAAAAAAACTATTTCCTGCCAAACACAGACAAAGTGAACAAGTTCAAATATTTTTTTCAAAATTAAAATCGGACTTCCTTTTTGCTCATTGGTCTAAATACACAAACGACCCGATTTCAACAGCTGAAGCAAATAGTTTGATAAGTTTAGTATTTTAGTATGTAAGATGGAAGATAAATTTACTTAGGTACATAAAAATATTTAATAAGCTCCTATAGAGGTAGAAAATACTTTCATCTAGTCTTTCACAAACAAAGAAATATTTATTGGTGGTTGTACAGAGCCTGAGTGCCTGACACATACGTTATATCATTAAATAATAATAATAAAGAATCGTAAAAAATTTAGCATAAAATATTATTTCAGACTTTTAAGGTCTGATGCTCCTTATATCATGTAAAAACTATTTTGTAAGTTCTACTGTCAGCATACAATTTTTTAATTTAAAAAGTTCAATTCACATTGTTGAAATGAAGCACAACAATTTGCAAACAAATAAATAAAACCAAAAATGTTGGGAATAGATTTTTTTATTTCTTCCTTTTTTTTTGTATTTATATATATATTTTTTAAATTTCTATTACGAAACAATTTTAAAAATTGGACTTACACTTCATTTGAAAAAAAAGAAAAACATTTCATAAATTACATATTTTATAGGATTAGTATGTTCTTTCTGAGTTAACTGTACGATTTATTTTTCTTACAAAATTTAAAATATCTATCATCAAAGATCTATTATTTAAGGGTGAATGAGGGAGGAGGAGGAGGGGGGGAAATGTATAAAGTAAACAAAGACTTAAAAGTAATAGTTATAAATGAAAATTATAAAAAAATCTAATATTTAAATTGAATAAATTGAATAAATAAAAAATGTAATATTAAATTGTTAACATTCTAATAATAACAAGCATACATTTATATCGGCATTATTTTCAAACACAAGTACTCTATTATTTTCGATTACAAAAAAAAAAAAAAAATTAATCATTTTGTTCTCGTCCATTCACTGGATGATTATTATAATAATGTATCTGAAACCGACAGATTAAAATGTTTTCTTATAAATCGATACTATTAACATTTCGATTACATACATGTTTATATTTTGTACTATCATAAAAAGAAAATGATCAACCCAAATGTATAATTGAACATCTACATATTACAAATAGCACAATCTTTTTTTTTTTTTTATTATTCTTTAGTTGTTAATTATTATAAATATTCATATATTTTAATAATTATGATAAAAAAATTGACACAGAAAAAACATGCTTAATACAAATAAAAAGCGTACAAGAACTTTCAAATCACTGTTTGGGATAGATTTCTGACATAAATATTATTATACGATACTTTATTATTATTGTTTTTTTTTTTAAATATATATATATTGTAATATAAATTGATACCTAAAGAACACGACTATTATAAATTAGCGTCTTGCATAACATAAACGAGTTCATGAAACTTTTATGACACTTAGTCTCTACACGCATATTTATAAAGTATTACATTAAAAGATTTAACATTATTCATTAGTCGCCAGAGGTTTGTCATCTATACATTCTGTGCTTTGTGGTTTTGAACTACTGTCTATTTTTTCTTCGGTTTTTGAATCAACATTTGCATTAGCGTTATCAATTTTATTGGGTATAGGCAAGGGAGGTTCAACAATTAAACCTAAAAAATAACACAACACGTCATATAAATATAAAAATAAGTAAATGTCAAATTATTTTAAAATTAAGGTTTTGTTTTCATACCTGCATTAGACACATAATAGTTATTAGAGGTTTGGCTTTTGTTCATTAAGTGTTGTATTGGAGCACAGTTTGGTTGCATTCGCATGTTTTGTGGTGGAGGTGGAATACGCTGTAAATATTGGAAACTTGATACAGGCCTTTGAATAGGAGTTGGATACGGAGGTGCGATTTTACCAGCCATTGATCCATTATTACTGTTGTTCATGTTCATTCTAGGTTGCTGCATCAAGGGCTAAAATAAAAAATAGATGTATACTTATATAATGACTGTATTATCACTACACAAAACTGTGAATACAATTTTTTCATTGGATTCTGAAAGATATCATGCCAGTCTTAATTGCTCTATAACATCCAGTACCCAACACTTAAGACACACAAGCCTAGTTCAGGCCACAAACACTGGATAAATATTATGTTATTCAATAAGAATTTAAAAAACACTTACCAACTGATTATTTTGAGTTGCGGAGACTTGATAATTACTATATTTTCCTTGCATAGCCTGATGAGTTTGTTGATTGGAATTCATCAATGTCTTATTAGCTGAAAATTATTTAGTAAATGTTAGCAACTAATTTTTCACTGGAATAAACATGAAAGACTTACTATCAAAGTATTGCTGCTGCTGTTGTCTGAATAAGTTGGAAGAATACATTGGATTTCCTAAATCTTGTTGATTTGAGATTCCAGACTTTTGAAGGTCGTTTGTACCATTTCCACCAGCCAAATTTCCCTTTATGTATGGGACTTGTCGATACTAGTTTAATAAATAGTTTTGTCAAGTACAAGTAATAAGTTAATAATTTAAATTTAAAACCTAATTTTAGATTGAAGTTCATAACAAGTTTTAGTTAAAAAGATTCTAACCCTCCATATGTTTTCTCTGCCATTCAACAAATGTATAACATAGCAAATCAGTGTTCAGCAGAATTTTGTGTTGTTGGATTTAAATGAGTATACAATTTAATGCCTATAAGATGCACTAGATAATATTCTTATACCTATCTAAGTTTAATATAAGTCAATTTCATTTTAATATTTATGTTATAGATTGGCATCCCGCTTAAGCCTACCTATAATATAATCAACAGTACATTCATCCGCAATCACATAACCAAGAGAGTTGGCTAGGTACAAATAATAAATATGTATACAGGAAGAACCATTATGAATAGTGAAGTATCGCGACAGTTGTGGTACTTAAACTACCGGAAAAAGGATCCGTACAAAAATTTGAACTTATCTCATGGAAATCCTACAAATTATGGGGTCATATAAAAAAACATTTCAACAACTATTATATAAAACGATAATACAATATAAAATATAATTATGTGCATTAATGCACTAATAATAGTACTTAGGGATGCTGCGTAATAGATATTCTGAAATGACACCACACGCAGGATGTGCACTCATATAAATCATATTGGAGCGTAGGCCCAAGCATTTCTCGAAACGATAACTAGAGGATCCAACATTCATGGAAAGGATACTTGGATTGAGGGGGCAAGGAAAAGTAGAGAGTCGGCCTACACAGAAGTCCCGAACAGCCCATATTCAGATGTGATTTGACCAAACGAGCCAGAGCACCTTCACGCCAGTCAGTCTATTGATTTATTATTTTGGACTTAGAATTTCATTTAAAAGTACACCTCATCCTCTTCTTTTTAACGACACCTGTAGTCGTCAGACCACTACATTAATATTTTAAGTTGAAATCAGAAAATTGATTCTGCTGAACAAAAATGTACTGTATCGTAAGGTTGAATGATGAAATCAATGCATTCCCTTAATATAAAACATTTATATACTTAAATAAAACAAAAATTAATTTTTAATATTTGTGTCACTTAATTGACTTTAATACAAAATATTATTTTATAATTGTATAACTGTTATGTATTTTAATTTTTGCCAAAAGATATTATATATATAAGCTCCTGTACTAAATCCCAAAATTACCTGTGACGTATAACTTTGCATATTCGGGGGCGGTGCATTTTGAGAACCGAATGCGGCTGGAATTCCAAAGGTATTGCCACCAGATGCGCCAGGAACCACTTGTGGTTGAAATGCAGATGGAATATAACTAGGATTTGTAGGTCCTGCTAAATTAATAAAATAAGATTAATAATCGATATTACATATTGACCATAAAATGATAACTTACTTGCTGAATTAGTAGAGTATAGTGACGAGGAAGTTTGCAATGGTGTTGCTCTTGAATTATTCATGGAATTGAATGGTTGGTTGAATATAGGATCAAATGGCACCAAAAACTAAAAATAAAATAATATAAGAGAAACGAGAAACAAAAAAAAAATTTTTAAATTATTTTACAGGTGAAGGTTGAGGTGTTGTAGCATTATAAGTATTTTTATTTCCGATTGTTCCAATTTGCTGTGAGGACTGTTTAACTTGCGAGGAAGAAGAATTAGTACTGCTCGGTATTAATACTGGGTTAATGTTTGTATTTAATTGCTGACCATTGTTGTAAGCCTAAACAATAAGATATATATAATAAATTATACTGATTATTATAATCAAAAATTGTTTTCAAATGTTAACGCACAGGTCCCATTCTAAATGGAGATATAGACGATTGTAATACTTCCGAACCACCTTGACCAGCTGGTGAACCAGCATGAATAAACATTGATGGATTATATTGATTCATATTTTGATTCAAACCATTAGATTGAAGACCATACGCAAATTGATTATATTGAGACCGTGCTGCACCACTAATAACCTAAGAAAAGACATAGATATGAGAAAAAGTTGAATTTTTTTAGATGAACTTAATATATAAAATACTAAAAACTAATTTTAAATAAATATTTTATTTACATTAAATTGAAAGAATTATTTTTGAATTGAAGTAGTTATTTTTTTTAGTTGACTTACAGTTTGGGAAGGTTCTAACAATGAATAAACTTGAGGAGCAGAAGGTGACGGTGGTGGCATTGTTGTTGTTGAGTAATGTTGTTGAGCCGAATTAAACAAAATAGCTGATGAAGGAGATTGTCCAGTACCAGCAGACACAAATTGTTTAGTCATCATTTCTACTCCAGTTTTATTATTGGTATTTAATATTAAATGTGTTTGTTGTTGTTTGGCAATGTGTGGACCATACATATCAGGTAATCCATCACTATTTTCCATCATTATCTAGAATACAAAAATGTCTTAATGAATATAAAAATAACCTCACATAAAAATTAAACGAACATTCACATAATAATATACGAACATAGTACTATAATATACTACTAATTTTATAATTATTTGTATTACTTGTAAATTCATGTGTGTTGCTTGTGTTGGCATAGCATTTGCAAGTGGTGTAGTTGATGTATGTGGTTGAGGTGTTGTAGAACTGAAAACATGTGTACTAGTTGATGACTGTTGCTGTTGCTGTTGTTGTTGCTGTTGCTGCTGCTGTTGTTGTTGTTGCTGCTGTTGTTGTTGTTGTTGTTGTTGCTGCTGCTGCTGCTGTTGTTGTTGTTGTTGACTCAATGGGGGTGATAATGTACCCTGCGGTTGAGGTTTAACCTTGAGAAATATAAAATTGTTATAAATGACATATTACCTCACTGACAGCCAAGTATTTACCTTGCATACGTTTGTGGTAGCAGCATTTGGATCTTGTTTGAGTTGACTAGCAGCAGCCATGGACACTGGAATGTAAGAGCCGGCAACATTTTGTAACTGAGGGGCAGGGCTAAAATTAAAAAAATATAATTACATAATTTGTGATATACAGCACAACTTCACATTTATTTATGGGGTTTATACCATGTAACGGGTGTTAAAAAGCAGCTATGAACAAATTGTAAATCTACGTGTTAATTACAACAAAAAGTGTCACGTACCAAAGTACATACCTGTACACTTGCTGATTGTGAACTCTTTGTTCATCGATAACAGAAATTTCTGATTTATCGTGTTGTCCACTACTAGCAGTGCTATAAACCGTATTAAAAGCACTATCAGTAATGTTTTGCTGAACTTGTGGATTAGATTCTGGTTTATCATCCCAAACCTATACCAAAAACAAATTAAAAAATAAATGTTAAGTTAAATAGGAATAAAAAGTGATCAAAAATATAGCTCAACCTTAAAAATTTAATAAATCTTTGATCAACTAATGGATACGATTTAATACCAAAATGAATATGATAATTAAAATTGATTTGTGTGCATGGTTAACAGTTAATACTGTGAATTGTTTAAATTTAGTAAACACTTATTCTTTTCCACAATTCTTTAAAATAAGTAAAGTTATTTATCTTTTAATTTGAAAAGCAACCTATACATATTGTTTAATAACCAGTAATTTTTGTATAAAACACAATCCTACTTCAGATTATGAAAATGCAAATATAGGTAACCATTTTATAAACAGTTTGATTCATAACTAAATAATTAATTATAATAGAAAAAACAATTAAGAAAGTAAGCATACTCTGGGTGAAAAAAAGAAAACTAGGATATTAAGACAAATGTACAAATTGTCCAATTGTCCGCTACTTAAAAATAATTTACAGGTCATGTAACAGCTTAATATCAAGAAGCAGATATTAAAAATTATTAAAATATGTCTTAAAATAAAAAAAATCATTCAAATCAAGCATCTTATCATTTGCAAATACCTTTTTAGTGCCGGCTATCATAGTTTTTAAGTCACTTGCTGCTAATGCTGATGGTCCAGTGTGCATTGACCTGGTATGGGCTGCCATTGCCATAACATCCTTGTTTTCTGCAGATAAATGACCACCACTTTGGGTAAAATCAGACTCAAAGTCGCCAAATCCAAGATTTAACTCAGAACTTTCATCATTCTAGTGTAAAAAGGATAATGAACACAATATAATTACACAAAATTATTGAATAAATAGGTACTAAACCAGTATTTAAAAAAAAAAAAAAATCAATTTAAGCAAAACACTAATAGTTATGATTTATAACATACTTGAAAGCTCATAGACATTTGTACAGCATCATTTAATTTAGAGTCTTTACTATCAGATTTGAATGCTCTAAAGCAAGTTTCTTGAGTATCTTCATTAAAATTACAATTATCTAAAACCAATTGATTTAATCAAAAATTTTGTTTTAATTGTATAATTATAATATTTTATCACCTTTTTCATTGCGCTGCTTGATATTGGAGTTATATTTATTTTTAGATTCTCCACATGGTTTTGATTTATACGTGGTATTTTCAAATATAATTGTTTCCATTCGTTGTGAAGAATCAAGAATACCATTTTCCATAACCTTATCAAATATTATAAATAACAAGGATTAAATAATTATTGAATTTCTTGGAACACATAATACAATAAATTGCTCGTTTAGAATAAAATTGTATTTTATACAGTTATAAATATACATACATTGGGTGAAGATTTTTCTTTATTTGAAGGTAACCTTTGAGTTGTCTGTCCAGGAATTTCTTTAATTTCAGTTAAACTATAATGAGATAAAAATAATTGTTATTAGTAATTATGAACAATATAATCAAAACACATCACAAAACATTAAAAAAAGTACACATTTTACCAATACCAATAAAATAAATTGTATTTACTTCTTTATAATTATAACTTATAACTCATTTATATTCAAAATATAGGTTCATATATAAGGTTTTTCATAAAGAGCTGTTTTTAAATGCTGGGTAATTTATTGTCATTAGGCTAGTGAGACTTTTCTTATAATTTCATTAATTTATTGGTGTTGAGGTTTTAAGTGATCGGCCAATATATTGTGTATTTTTTCACCGTGAAGCACTATACAATTGAGCAACGTATTTTGTCAATTAAAATCCATTATGAGCACAGTGTGTTGTGACAACTTTTAAGAAACTGCATACGTTCCTTGTCAATTAATTCTTATGTCCTGACCATCATCGTTATTACTGTTGAGGTCGGTGTTTCACAGTGCCCAAGGAGATTGCGTAAATTCTTAACAGTGACCGCAACAAAGTTGCCATGTTTATAATGGGGTTTAATGGACAAAACACGTTGATCGATTGTAAAGCGCTCCATGACGGTAAATAAACCGAATACATAATATATTGGTGAATCATAAAAATCTCAACAACTATGGATTGCAGAAAATATAAGTTCACGAGTCTCACGAGCCTAACAATAACAAAATTACTCTGCATTTAAAAACTGCGTTCTTCATAAAATATCCCCTTAAAATAAAACAATGTTAAATTAAAAATTAATGTCTAATAATAATATAATCAATATGCCGTAATACCTATTCGGTCGGTTATTAGATTGTGGAGCAACTGGCTTATTAACATTAGGCGACTGTGCTCTAAGAGCATGAGTTATTGGTTTGTCCCAAGCATTTGTTTGTGGAGGAGGTGGAGGATTGTTGCTAACCATAACAACAGTATCTAAAAAAAAATAAAACTATTTAATTTATGTTATATTTTAATAGTTTTAAGTTATAATATTATGTATTTTATCAAACCTTTAATAATGGGAACGTTTGAGTCATCTTGACCAATTTGTGGCTGACTTTTTTGACGTTCATACCTCTGATTAGTTTGACCAGGTTTAGCTGCATTATTATTTGAATTAGCTCTAGATGTTGGCTTAGAAGAATCTTTACGATTACTCTGATTAGTTAAACGTTGAATTTTTTGTTGAGAATCGCTCAATTTTCTCTGGTCCTCTTTTTTAATAGATCTTCCATCTTGAGAAGTACTTCCTAAAATGATAAATGTATTAATGAAATATAAATATTTTAATATTTATATATTATTAAATATTATATTAAATTTACCACTATAACTACTCTTAGGGTCATTAATAGAAGTAGCTGATGTCAACTTTTGATTGGATTTTTCAGCATTACCAAGTTCTTTAGGCTGATCCTTTTTATCATAACTGGATCTTTTGTCACCCCTTAAGAAAATATGAATAGTTATTAGAATTAAGAACTATTTATAGAAACTATACTAAATTACCTTGATGCTAAATATGTACGACTACTTAATCGCCGATTACTACTTTTTTGTTGAGCTTCATAATCACTAGGTTCACTAACTGAATCCCAATGGTCATCTTGTTTTTGACTATTAAGAGGTCGATTATTTTGTCTAGAACCGAATCGATTTTCACCACTTCTACGGTTTGTATCTCCAGAAGTTGAAAATGCATCTGTTTTAGATGGTTTAGATGATGAAGTTTTACTTCTAAGAGAACCAGAGTTTGTGTTTAATTTATTTTTCTCAACACTTTCATCAATACTATTTTTTTGACCGCTACGTCCATTTAATGTACATGATTCTAAACGTACTCTTCCTCTCTGCTCAGATCTTTGACTATATCCACGTAACGTCGATTTATCAGAATAACGATCATTTTGTCTAATACTTCCTCTGTTTCTATCATCATTTCTATTTCTATCATCTCCACGATTTCTGTCATCATTTCTACTTCTGTTTTCACCTCGATTTCGATCATCTCCTCGATTCCTGTCTTCTCCACGGTTCCTGTCTTCTCCACGGTTTCTGTCATCTCCACGATTCCTGTCGTCTCCACGGTTCCTGTCATCTCCACGATTTCTGTCGTCACCTCGATTTCTGTCATCGCGTCGAGGGGGCCCTCTGGATCGTTGACCTTCTTCATAAGACTCCGGCCAAGCATTTTTTCTATTTGACCCAGACCTGGAAACTGTTCGAGAATTGATACTCTGATGATATGATGAACGTGATCCAACATAGCGGTCAGATCTCATCCCTTTTTGATGAGATAATGTAGAAGTACCAGAATTGTTTTCTAAAGATGATTTTGGTTCTAGAAATATTTTACTTAATTAGTTGTTTCTACTTTGTACGTTTCTACTTTCTCCAAGTAACAGGAGCACCTTAAACGTTTTCAAACCCCCTTCCAAAATTAATGTCAATCAATACGAGATGTAACCAAATCATAAATAATAATCTAAATGTTCTGGATTTGATAAAAAGCCCATACCTATCCAATACTTAAATTAAGTTATTTGGCAATTTCAAATTTAAAAAGAATATATATTCTATTATGTAGCTAAATAGAAAACAATTGCTTCACCAGTTCTGTAGGTCATTTGAAACTTTTATTAATTAATTTCAAGAATAACTTCTGCGCTCCTGTTTCTTAATATTAACTAAAAAAAAGTTCAAAAATAAAACCTATAATTCATTTCTAATGTAAATACCTGATAATTTGTCGTCATCATTTTTTTGACCACTTTTACCACCTTTTGTTTCCTGGTCAAGTTTTTGTTCTTGCAATGTTTTATTTTTATTATTAGTTGGAGCTAAATCCCAAACAGATTTGTCTTTAGTAGATAAATCGTCACCCTAAAATAATATTTAATTAAACATTAATATAATATGCACGGAACAGCAAATTTCACAGTATCAAAAAGGAACTAAATTCTACATTTAAGAATTAGTGTCAGCTCAGTACCTAAAGGGTGGCCAGGATGCATTTCTTCAGAAGGGCCCCAAAAATGTTATTTCATTAGATGAGAAAAAAGTATACAATTATATACTTATAAGAAATGTAACATTTTTAAAGGTACCTTATTTAAAATAAACTAACAATAAGTTAAGAGTAATTATTCATTATTCAAAAAAATCATATCAATACCTTATATAACACAACTAAATATTTTTTAATGCCATTAAAATTGAGTAATTGATTTTCTTTATATAATTATATCAGTTATATTTTAAGTTGACTAGAAGAGTTAGAAATTATATGAATTAATTTTTAACTGAGTCAATCAAAATATCCTATTTGATGAACATTAGAATCAACATATTAAGATGTTTTTGGTGTAAAGAAGACAGATGTTTAGTTTTAAATATTTTCAGCTTCAAAAATATTCTTTCACAGGTCAGTGTTGATAGTAACAGCTACACAAATTTATATTAAGTGAACAAAATACAAAATATATTAGATTGGTATGAAAACTCTTGAAGAAAAATGAATGCACAGTATAAACATTTGGATAATTATAAAGTGCATTTGCTACATTTAATTTGTTCGGTGGATTTAACTTCAATATCTTCACCTTCATCAATACTTGTAATTTTAAAAGATTTAGATTTATTATCATGAAAATCATTTTTAGATACACTTGGTATAAAATTGGTACATTGGCAAGCAAACTGCTATAACTCAATTGCAATGATCTGTTGGTCTAAATCTGCTTATTTACTTATTGTACTCAATGAGTCCTTGGAGTTCAAGATCACCAATAAAAGAAAATGTTTCTAACCACTTTAAATCTTTAAATAACATTTCATTAGGTACAAATCGTGATTTTATGCTATTAAGAATAGTATCTAAAACAGAATAAGCATTTGAACAATATTATAAATTATAATGGTATAATATATAATAATATTCAATATCCAATATTCATAGCACTATCGAGGAAAACAAAAATATGGCTGGGGGCCCCGGATGCGTATGTGGTCAGGCGGCCACTACAAATAATAGAAATTTATTTTTGTTTTGTTAAAATTTCACTCGCAGTTATGAAAAATTGAACCACAAAATATAGTTGAAAACCACAAGAAATATGATGAAAATAATATTCATTTAAAAAAGTTATCTACATATTTTTTAGTGTTGCGAATTGTTTTGATTGTGTATGCATGTAAACTAAACTAATATTTATAGTTATGCACTTACTTGATCATTTTTCTTCATATCCTTTCTTTCACTTTTTACTAATTGATTTAAATTCCGTTTAGGTTCACTGGTCAATTCACAAGCTTCAAGTTTCTCTTGAGTTATAGGTCCAGGTATATATTTTTTACCCTAATATAAAATTAGTTATAGATTTTATAAAAACAATTACGATTATGTATTGAAAATACATACATATTGGCCCGATGAATTCATTTCATCTTTATAGAAATCTTTACCGAGAGAATTTTGTCTCCAATGATAAGCCTCATCATCAACTTGCCTATAAAACATCAATAAACAATAAAAACATATATTATTACCAATACTAAACTAAACTTACACATGATCTTTGTCAATATCCTCTGGAGTTTCTAAAGAATCTCGAGAATGATATTTTGATACTTTTGTAAATTCTTTTTTATCAGCATCATAATTATCATCAGCTGATTTCTTTACATTACCGCCCGCATCCTATAATAAATAATGTTTGATATATAAAATAGAATTAAGTACAATAAAATATTAAAAATACTAACATTTCTTTTGAAATCACGCCTGTGATCATAATTCTTTCTATTGTCATCACCTCTATAATCACTATGTGTATATTTATCATTTTTGTCTTTAGCATCTGAACGAACCTTTTCTCTTCTGTATCTATTTAAAAAGACAATTAAAGTCAGTTTATTGTTTTTGCTCATACAGTATTGATTTTGAAAATGCATTTTATAAATGTTACTCATACATACAACTATTGAGTGACCATTATCTATTGTTTTTGTATAATAATGTTACTAAATTAACTCATCATAGACAATTTACATTGTTTTGTATATTAATTCTATCAGTCAAAATTAGAAATCAAATATATATGTTATGGTCAAAGTGTATAATTTGGGCATTGCGCACATGCTCGTCATATTTGGGCAAAGCTGAATCTGCTTTTAATTTGAGTACATTGCTTGGTCATTGTTATACAATGCTTAGTTGTTTGTGGGAAGTATAAGTTTATCGCAATTACGCCTAATTTTGTTCAATAAAAAACAATAATTATGAAATTGGTACCATGAAGGTATACTTCAACAACTTAACACTAGAAATTAACTTTAAATATGCAGAGTTCTTTGTCCAGATTGAAATAATACCAATAACATCTCTGATATCATTAAGAGAAGCGGCTAGAAAATGTTCAAATTTTGGCGGTCAAGGATATGACCGGTATAACTGTAAATAGCAATGCAAGACAAACAAATGGAAGTGTAGGGCTGCAGGTAAACTATGTACTTCTAAATGTCATGATTGCTTAAGTTGCAAAAATAAATAAAAAAATTTGTTCATATTCATAAAATAAATTATTGAAAAATTAATAAGACAACAAAAGTTGTTTTATACATTTTTAATAAATTGTATTGCCCACTCTTCAGCGGTCATTCTGTACAATGCCCTGGCAAAGTGTGTAATTATCCACATTGTCCATTACAAGGCCCAATGTACTACAACGCCCAATTATACACTTTGACCGTAACATATATTTTAAATTTTAGTATTGCTTGAACTATTTTTATTTTAATAATAAATAATCACAATTTTTGGAAAGACTTCATGGGAATCTTTTTATTCAACAATGCAAATAATTAAGTCAAAATATCGTTCGAATTTGACTGATGATAATCTCACAGAATTACTAAGAACTGCTCTTAAATCAATACAACTAGATCAAGCTTACTAAAAGAGTAGATAATACCACGTAACAAATTTAGCTAACATTTATTTCTATATATTATTATTTTTTTTATTTTTTTTTATTTATTGTTTTTCAAATTTAAATTTATCAGATTCGTTTAAGTGACATCCTAATTTAAATGTTCAACCTAATATTGTCCAAAGTTAATTAACCATCCAACATTTGTATCGACTTTAGAATTATAACATACCTATCAAATTCTGATCTTTTATCTCGTTTCAAACTCGATGATTTACTTGTATGATCATCTTCAACCCATGAATCACTTCTGTACTCGGAATATCCACTACTACTCATATCACTATCAGTACGACAAAGTGTATTTATACCTTCTAAAATAAACACACAAACCGTTAAATTAGAAAACTCAAAATAAAAATATTAAAACTTTACTTGTAGAAGAGACATTTTGAGCTTTAATATTGGTGTCATTGTTTTGTTCAAAGTGTTTTTGCAGTCTTGAAGGTAAATATTTATTATTAATTTCTTTATTGTCATTGCTTTCATCATATTTATCTTTTGATAGTTCAGATCGGCATTTTGAAGGATCGTCTGTGAACTCTTTTTCCTGCAATAACATTAAACCACCATTAAAAAAACCTGTCTACAACAATTATCTTAAACAAAATATGCAAGTTATTCTTCAAATCATATATAAATACCAATTACAATCACTACTATAACAATTTCTTATTTTCAGTTTTTGAAGACAAATTATCTTTATTTGTAATTGTAATTTAAAGCATTTTGACATACTTATTTTAATTTGTATATAAAATTTATGCACCTCAATATTATTTAGTGGAAACAGCACACTTTTAAATAATGAAAATATTTTTCTTTAGATTTCTGAACGTCAACAAGCTTATTATTTTAGAAAATTAAATTTTTTTGTATTATTAAATAATATTATACAATTAGTAAAACAAGTTTCAAATTAACAAAAATCATTCAAATAGAAATAATAAAAATAATTTTTATAGTTTAAGTTCATTCCCCTTATTATAATATTATACTGTACCTGTATGTATTTTAACTATATGTGTTTATTTGTACCTAATTGTATGTATTTGAAGGTGTATCTCTGCAAGTTTGGTAAAAGGACTACAAAAGTGTAAATTTGAATGATAGCAGATGTGGAGTTAATATTTTTTTAAATAAATAAATAAACAACTAAAATTTAATATTTTTATTTTGCATATTAAGGACATATAAATGCATATTTCTGTACTTGTATTGTATATTACATAATATGGCATGTACTGAAAAATAATGAATATTATTGATACTATTGGCCATGATTTTAATTTAGTAGTCCTCAATAATTTATGTTTCTACAATAAAAAAAGGATAAACAAATTTAAATGCTTTTACAAGGTTTAACTTTCAATCTATAAAATTAATAAATAATTCAATAACTTGGAACAAGAAGCCTCAGGGGTCATAATCATCTTGCAGAAACCAATTTTTTTTATCACATAAGCTAGCAAATAAAGATAAAAATTGTATTAAATATTATAAATAATATGAAATGTTTACTTTATTATCTTTATTTTCTCCATCCATTTTTTTTAATTTAGTTGCTTCTAGTTGTTGTTGCATTTCATAACGTTTCATCTCTTCTAATTTTCGATCTTTGGCACGTTGTAAGACAGCATTTAGTTCTTCATTTACTACACGTGCTCTTCCCAAAAACTCGTCGTCAATATCATCTTCTGTTTGCATTTCTTCCTAAAATTAATATTTAAAGTACTTTGTTAATAACATACATTTAATAATATTTAAAACAAAATAAAATCTAACCTGATGAGATGATGGTGGTCCATCTCTATAATATGACATATAATCTGAGTTATAAGATACATCTCCATTGATATTCAGATGCATGAACATACCCTCCTTAAAGAAAAAAAATATTAAAACTTAATATATTTAAAAAAGACAATTTTTACCTTTAAATTTTGAACTAGACTTGGATCACAATTGCCAATTTTATTACTTAAGTAACCTTTAGCATTATCGGATCTACTTCTGATATTACCATTCAATGATTGTTTATTTAATTTTTCATTCAATTGGTCTTCATCATCACTGAAGTCCAATTTTTTACTAATAAAACAAAACAAAATTAAATATTTATACTTAGCAATACAAAAATATATAGCTGCCAACAAGGCCGTAGCCAGAAAAATATTTCGGAGGGGGTTTTTTAATCTTAATTAAGATTAGATACTGTAGGTATTATGTGAGCTATACATTAGGTTTTACAAAAGTACATTAAGATTAGTTATCGCTTATCTAACACAATATAAATATAAAATATACCGTTAAACCGTTTTATTTTTGTATGTGTTGTAATCACAGTGACACGTATCAAATATAATAGGCATTTAAAACTATTCAATATTATTTCAAAAAAAAATTTCGGGGGGGGGGGTCTAAACCCTAACCCCCCTCCTGGAAACGGCCTTGGCTGCTAATGAAAAGATAATACAAGATTATTACTTGTAGTCAATTTCTCCTTGTATAGACCACCCAGTTTCTTTGGAAAGTTCATTCATTCTTTTTAAATCCTCTTCACGAATAATTGGAGGAGGTATAAGTTCCTTGATATCTGCTGTAGGTTTACTTAAAACACCATCTGTGGTCATTGATGAAGATGAATTATGGTGAAACATTTTTTCTGATGGATAAATATGTTGTTTGGTATGATATACAATATTATCTGATTGATTTGGAACCATCTAGTAATTTATAAACCTAATTACAAATATATTCTATTTACTTTTTAACTCTATTTAAAATCTTACAAAGTTAGGCAACATATTCCTCATAACTGGATTTTTAGTCATGTTATATTGCATCTGATAAGGATTCAGGCCGGCCGGGGCCCCGGCCACCCCATTTTGGACCGAATTGCTCCGTACGCCATTCACATTTTCTGTCCCTTAAAATAAATGTAAAAAGTTAATTTCTCAAAAACCTAAATTTTATGATTTAATGATTAGTATCAATAAACCACGGATAGATCAAATTATAGCTAGAATGATTTACAGCATAATCCCGAGTAAGCCCAAATATTAAAAATATATATAAAAAATATAGTTATGAGTATAATAAGTTGAATTGCTTTTGGTTTCAATTTAAAAGAAAACATAACATCGATGAAAAATATTTTTTTGATGTTTGAGATATAGGTACCTCAATAGAATGTTATTTTATTTTTCAGTTACAACATTTCATAAATAGTCAATACAATAAGTATTTTGTCATTAATATAATATTACAGAATAAGCAAAATAATTAAAAATTATCCATCCATAATAGTTGGGAGAATGAAAAGTGGCAGCCGATTCACACAATCCTGGTGGTGGATTTGTATGATGGTTTTGAAATATTAGATATGGATATAATTACTTAATACAAATGTATTAAAATGATGTAGTATACCAATTTGAGAACCCCTGATTATCGGGGGGAAAATGCTGAGCATCATATTTTCCAGCAGCCACTTTTTGATCTCCAGATTATAGCAGACAAATTGTAAAAGTACGCTGAACAATCTAGTTACAATAGGATTCTTATATCAAAATCTCAGTGATAATACTATATACAAGTAACTTGTTGACCTAATGCACTTGCTGCCCATGAAAAATGGCAACTCTTATAAGGATGGTGGGAGAAAAGAGCGAAAGCGACATTTATGATTAAAATCGGTTTATAAAATTAAGGTGTAAGTGACATAATTATAAGTAATTAATAATAACTATACATAATAATTATACATAATTATGGTTATAATCAACAGTTAAATGGTATAGCCGCCACCTATCAAATTAAAGCATAAGGGTCAAATAGTGGGCAAAAAATGTTTGTCCCGATTTAAGTGAAATAAACTATAGCAATCCTACACTAGCGAGGAATAAACCCGCAGTCATATAAACCTTGTCCTAATTCTAAATGAGGGTTAACCTAGTGGAAACACTTGCAACTAAAAACTTTAATTTACATACCGGAAGATGTTTGAGAATGATGAGGTTGACCTGAAACTCCAGTAACACTGCCGGCGCCTTGAGGCATTTGAGGTCGACTGCCACCTTGCATCCAACTTGTTTCGGCTATAAAATTAATAAGAGTTTAAAATATGTAAAATAATTGTCTATATCCTATTTTTACTTTGAGGACGAAGAGAAGGTCTCTGTTCTGTGTTGGCCTGTGTAGGTATATTTGTGTTTATTACATTTTTGTGTTCTCCACTTGAAGTAAGACTCGGAAATTCTTGTTGGAATTGCATTGTGCGATGTGCTAAATATGGGGGAGCAACTGGAACATCCACAATTTTTTTGGCCCATGTTTTGCCGTCGGCATGAGAAGGCTAATGATAGTAATACAAACATTAAAATAGTTTAGCTTCAAATTAAAAACAATTTAAACATACTCTTGTAGTTGTAGTGGTGGTAGTCACTTGCACGGAAGTAGGATGGGACGAAGCATGTTGTTGTCCCTGTACAGGCCCACTTTGGGACAGTTGAGATGTCGTCGTGGCAATAGATGTTGGCGGAACCTCTTTGCCCGCAGCCTAAAATATTAAATTTTATAAATATATAGATTTACCTAGTAGTTAAAATATTTTAATTTTGGAGAATTTGAAAACTTACCACAAGTGATTTCTCTATGACTGGTTTGTTCCATCCTCCACCACCGATAGGGACTAGATTGATCGTAGACTCATGGCTAGATTCGGACTTCTCACTTGGTAAATTAACAGGGTTACGAACACTGCGGATAACTTTTCCAATAGATTGCAATCCATTTTTACGTGGTGCTATGCTCTTATGTTGATTACTTTCTGTAGACTCACCCTAAAATTTCATTACAGGTTAATTCATAATTGCATACAGTTAATGAAATTATAATTATTATTGCTATAAAAGTAAGTCATTACAAACAAAAGTATTCTCTTACCTTATATAAACAATTTATTTTCAATGATTGAAATGAATTCTTTCCTTTGCTTTTCTCCCCCTTCAAACTGACCCCTGGCAATGTAGACATACTGTCTGCAAGGCACCATTTAGATTATACACTTGCCCGTAGAACGTACCTTTGATCTACAAACAAAAACAATTTTTGTTATTATTTTATTTCATTAATTAAATGGTAATGTAACAGAATGTTTTTAAAATATAGGTGCACTGTACATATATTAGTCTAGAGGTCCCCACCACTCATGCATCAGTTATTTTAACTAAAAAAGTATTAAAATCTATGTAGGTACTCGTGATATACGAGCATAGCCATGTATTTGAATATCTACATTATATTTTTATGGGTCACTAAAATACACTAAAAATTAATTCAATTATTAGTAGATACATCACAGACTATATTAAAATATTGTCTATGGATATATAATACATAATATTGATTATAATTATATAAGCAAAATAAAAAATAAATTGACGTGGTACCTACATAATAATTTTACACAAGTATATCAAAAATGTTAATTTTTAAGAATGTCGAGCTTGTGTAAATGTAATATTTTAATAATTGAGATTAACTAATACAGATTAAAAATACATATTGGCACATTGTAATAAGTAACACAATTAATTGCAAGTAGTTACCCACATATTTTATTATTTGTAGAACAAATATAATCTACCTATAGATATTTATTAAAATTATTTACCAAGGTATTATTAACCTATTTAGGTGCCTTATTAAAACTAAGTAATTCTTTTACATTAAACAAAACAATATATCTTTTTAAGATCAAAATTTATTTTTGTTCAAATTGATTATAACTTAATAATAATATATAAAATGAAAGTTTTGAAAACATTAATTTCTTATTAATAAATAATATTATGACTAATAATTTTGTCCATTTGTCCATGGTAGTCTATGATGACTTTAAAGAATATATAATACATTCAATAAAGTTAGTAGTTAGCTCAAAAGTAGTATCTGAATTATATTTTCCAAAAGTCACAAATACAATTAGTGCAAGCAAGCACAAGATTTTAATATCAACATAATTAAAAATTCAATTTTTCATAGAGTGATGTATTGAATTATATTTGATAGCCTATTAGTTTGTTCTATTTTATTGAAAGACGTAGACTACAGATGAACGATACTTCTTTGGATTTAAATAAATGACAAAGCTAACACTAACCTATTTGCTTACATACATTTATGAGTTCCAGTTAATTTTATCTAATAACCAAGTGTTGTAGGGTATATTAAAATAAAGATTCTAAATTTGAACAGCCAAAAAAACCAGTTATTAATAATAAATTCAGTAATTGAAGATAAAATATATTGATTTATAAATAATATATAGGTGTAATAGTCTTTAAGGATAACAATAAATTAATCAACAAGAATAAAATTAATTGCTCAGTCTACTTAAAAGTAAATAAAAAAATGACCCTAGACAATGTCATTAACATTTTTCTTGAGTCCTTGACCTTATAATTTTTTATTAGTTATTTTAAATTAAGGCAACATATTCAGAATTAAAACATTAAAAATACTAATCAGGATAAAATACTTTAACCTAGGATATAGGTATCAGAAGAATACTATAATTCAAAATTTGTAAGTAATATTATGCCATCATATTTATGAACCAGTTAATCAGGCTTAATATCCACTATTTTTTTTATGCACGTTATTTGTTGTATGCAATTTTTCCTTCCACAACGAAAAACTATTGATTTTTTTTTAAGAATTCCTTCAAAGTACTTATAACATGATTTTAAATTAATGACTTCAGCTAAATTATAAATTTACTACAATATCAGAAAATTCTTAAAACAATTTTTGTCACTTAACTCAGGCATACCTAATATTAATTTAAATAGCCTACTTAGGAAACATCAAATAAACAATTTGTAATTATATATCCTTAATAAATAAGAAATTGCTTAAATAAAATAACCTGACTTTTGTGATTAAGTTGTTTATAATAGTTTAATATATGATTACAAAATATATAAATTGTAATACCAATTAATGTATTTACAGACTAAGAATTGTACGGTGGATAAATGGGTACTAGATATTCAAATTATTTAACCAAAACTAATGATAAATTAGGGTAAGACAGCAAGGATTTGCGGCATAAAGAACACAATAACTTAACTCAGAACAAAACAAACAAAATATAAATTATTTTGTAGAGGTGAATAAAAAAATCAAGAATGATAAAATGGCTTGGGTAAACAATATTATCAAACGGACCCTGGGAGAATGTTGAATCGATGATAGATATCAACTTATGGTGATCTCGTCAATTTTGCATTTGTTACATGACATTGTTGTGGAGGTTGATTAAACGCAACTAATGCCATGAAAATCTACAGTCATCTAAATAAAAGCATGCTAGAGCCAACCATAATCAAATGAGTCAAAATGATGGCCACTATCATCAAACAGCCTAACCTAACCACCGAAACAATACTACAATATACCTATTAAGTGATATTATGACAACTCGGCTGCCTAGGTCCATAAGACAAAATTACGGGTATAAACTATTTGCTGTCCTGCAGGACCGATATTCGCTGAACAAGGATATTGAGGCGCGCACAGAATCGTCTCGCGACCATTGTCTATTGTCGTAATTGTACCCCGAGGTCGTACCTATCGATCACACGTCATAATCTCAAAGGATTTGTCTCAGTCCTTGGACTGCAAGAAAGGATGTTTGGTGGGTCTAGTGGGTGGAGGACCGACGGTGAGTAGTACGCGGTGGCGGCCACAGGCACGTCGCCGCCTAAGAGACTCGCGGATCCCGGAAGACCCAAGAACGACGTTTTGGGCCGGTGACACGGGGCCGGCCATTTCTTTGTTGTTGTACCTAACAATACGCGGCGGCGGTGGCGCGACGGCAGCAGCAATGGCGGACGACGTCGTTGCTGCCGTCGCTGCAACCGCCGCCGTTACAATAATCGAAGGCGAACGCGCTCGCCGATGACAACGGTGATGGTGGTGTACTCACATAGGTCCGTCCAAATGGGTGCACGCGTGACAATTGAATGATATCACCCGAAAAGAGTGATCAGTGCGCGTCTGTCTGTTGCGAACTCGGAAAAACTAACGCAACGCGAAAACCTGAATCGGAACGATCGTCGATTTATTATCAAACATAACGTTGAAAACACAAAATGGCGTCGTCTTTGGTATTGAAACCTTCATTCAACACATTTTTGCGTTGTGCCGCTCGCCCGCCACGCCTACAATCTCGGCCAGTCAGCCACGCGCAGTGCTGGCGCGCCCGGGGATTTCGGTCGGGAATTCTCGCGCCGCCCGGTATTATTATTATTGTTGTTATTATTTTTGTTCCGGCGACCAGACCGTCCGTAGTCCATCCGCGTTTTTGTCTCGGTTTTTATTTTTCACAACAATAATCGACATTCGACTGTTGCCTACCCGTCGAAAAGTTGGTTTTCAGACGTAATGCGTCTTTTAATGGTACGTGCACGCGTCTCTTCCTCTCTACCCCGCCAACCCCACCCAAACCACCTTGCATCGCTTTGTCTGGAATACTTTGTTTGTCCGTTGTAGTCTGCAGCACTTGTAACAAATATTTAAAAATTTTATGAAATATAATATTTCCTCGGACCGTGCTCTCGTTTTTTCCGTAATTTTTCACGAGCGGCCGTTTGTTTCCGGTTTGGCTTGGATAAAAGCTGCCGGAAACTGCCGCGATATGTGTGGGTTGTGTGGGTATGTGGGAGGGGGAGGAATTATTAACGTCGAGAACGGAAGAAATAAACCCGAGAAGGCGAGAACGTGATTGTGGCGGTGGAAAATCGAACGCGGGTGGTTGAGACCCGTGCGCGCTGAGGCGGCCGGCGAGGGGTGGTGAAAATGACGTTGACCCGCGGCCGACGTCGACGGCCTCCACAGCGCCCGCACCACCCCCGGCACCCGTCCGACCACCGCACCATACTCCAAGTCTCCAACTATAAAACTGGTGCTATTCGCTCCCCAAACGCCGCCGCCGGGTGAACGACCTCCGAGCGTTGTACAAACGCACCGTACCTGTGTACGATACACTCACGCGTCTACGCACACGCACACGTAATAATATTGTATACAGGGTGATTCTTTTAAAACAATGCTCACATTTTTTTTGTGAAATTCTCGGTTACAATATTCTGCTTAAAAAATGCACGCTATTATGAAAAGACTCGAAAAACCCAGAAAAAAAAAATGAAAATGAAAGAAAATAATAAAAAAATATTAGGTATTTTATTTATAAAAATATTTTGTAATCACTTCGAATTGTGTAGAACTGTAGAAATATATTTCCAAAAACGAATGAAGAGTCATACCCAGAGCTCTATCCGACATCCGTGTCAAGTGTGGGTGCACATCTCTCGCGTCTTTTACCTATGTCCTTTATTAATTATGGTTGTCATATGGGTGTTCCGACAGGGCGTGTTTTTATATATGGTCCAGAAATCATCACCGAATATCACATACTGATTCACATTTCACCGTGCATATTATGACAACCGAGCCCGCAGATCATGCTCGTCCTGACAACTAGGCTTAGCCGCAGTGACTCAAATAGGGGGTTGATATGTAGGACGGAGTGGGCTGCAGCACGGAGGTAATATGATATTACTTATATTATTTTATTGTTTTTATTATCTAAGTATAAATATTTAAGTTAAATGGTTAAAAAAAATGTATTGCCCTATTTATTTTTTTGGATCATTACAATAAATTCCACCCTTTGAGAGTTTGAGCTGAGCCTTCCAAAAACTCCTAGAAGCCCCTTCAAAAAATATTGACATAATATAGGTACTTGTATATGTATATACCTACAATTTTTCTTTTTTTTAATGAAATTATCTTGAGTGGTTTGATGCTCCCATACAAATATTTGCCATTTATATCACTGCGTTGACATCACAACATACATCAGCTTTAGAGACTGGCTAGAAATATGTCCGTACAAACCAAATAAAAATAGTCCCGAGTCGACAGGAGTGCTTTAAATTTGGTTAGGTTAGGTTATAATTCGTTTTATAAGAGTATACTATTGTGCGATACTATATATTTTGAAATATTTTACGCACCCAATCTTACTTCAAAATATTGTAGATACAGTCAAAGACTCGATTTGGGACTTTAGGAGGGGCAGCTGGAGAGTGCCAATAGCGACTGCAAAGCGTCCTCGCATGCACAGTTTCCACAGTTCCACCAAAGTTCAAATAATTCAATGAAATAGATCACGCTAAAATCGTTTCTAACAGGGTTTCCCCCTAAATTTTCAAAAAATTGCGTCCTCACTGAATAATGACTTGGGACATTGGTCGATGGTAATAGCGTATGCGTTTTCGAGAAGTTGTATACGAGTATACGCACATTTTTATTTCGTGCACACTCGACAGTAAATATTATTATATACGCAGTGTAAACGGTGCTTTATTTAGGTATGCTCTAATGCCTTGTTATTTAGTTGTATATAATAAACTACTATTATATAGTAGTATAATATACTATTCAGTCAATTATTAAAGCACGTCACCGTGTAGCTGAAGCACGTTAAATTGATATATTAGATCATTTTGCCACCGCCGTCTACTAATATATATTTAATATTTATATATTCTCATTGATAATATTTTACTATCTATACAACCATATTACGTGATAGGAACATTACGCTATCGCATAAGTAATTTGCCTTATTATTATTTGATCACTTACAAATGAGACACAAAAATGTAAATCAACGTTCGTCATTATTTACGAACAGACCTATTGTTATATCAGCTATTATTATCTGCTCGTACCTAAATAACTTTATGTATAATAATTATATAATTTATACCTAATCGGTTATTTATATTTTGAAATACGCATATTATGGGGAAAATGTAACTGACAATTGTTTTCTTAAAACAATAGGGGAAAGGTTTATTCATATCTAGTCGAATAGTTTTTTAATAATATAGTCTGTCTGTAGGACACCACAATTTTAATTTTTAAGGGACGCATAATTGTGACTTGTGAGTATGCGTCTGTGACATGTAATCGAACTTATAATATATATTAAACTACAATGTTGTAGCCTGTAGGTATATAATATATTTATCAATATATTATCGTCGGCCGTCGGGCGTATAGATCGTACTATGTTCTTAATTACAGTCATTCACGGTACAGCCAATAATATAAGTATATTATAATTTATACGTTTATCGTTAACAATGTCGAACATTTATATAATATTGTATAATATGTTATATTCAGTAGGTGCTACCTACTATGTAGAATGATAACTTATTATTGTTAATTAAACCATAACGATTTAATATTATACGATACCGTATGCGTGCAGTAAGGTATAATGCCTATGCTTTGCCTTGGCTACTGCGCATTGTGCATGAAAGTAATATTGCTAACGACAGAAGGGTTGTTAAAATTCTGTATATTTTTTTTTAAACACAGTTGATCCGTTACATACTAACGTTGTCAATTATATTAGATTTCCGAACGGGGATGGGGAAGGTCTGTAATATAAAAAATTAATACTTGTAAATAAATTACAAAAAACTGTATATTTTTACACAAACATTTTGATGTGTTCTAAATGTTCTGATTTAATCATTTATAACCCCAATGGCCCAATGAAATATATTTAATATTCGATCTACGCCATACATTTATTATTATTAAGACTATTAAGAGTATAGACAATAAAATTCAACAGATAAAAATACTTCGCGGTCACTGCAGGGCATTGTATACAAGTGATACATCACTGTATTTTTGAACTTGGCTTCTGTTTACTCTAAGCAGTCTAGGCCTACCAAATTAGAAATTGTATTGAAAGTACTAAGTAGTAAATACTGCAAGCCTTGAAAATGAAAAATATCTAGAGATCCAACCATTATTCCTTAACAGTGTTAATGTAAAATGCAAATTATTAAAGATAGTTTTAATACGGTTACACATAACATACTAGCAAAACAGTTAATTTAAATAAAACATTTGTTTAACTGTATACTACTAGGAAATGTAAACAATTCTAAAATTATTTTTATTACACAATATATCATCGGCTATAAACTTATAAATACCCTTGTACCTATATTTATAATTAATGGCAATGCATTGTATCAACAAATAACGAATACAGAAAAATAACAATTACAATTTACAGAATGTTTTAAATTTTTAAATTAAAATTATGAAATGAAATGAGTGCTGAATGCTGTATTAGATGAATGCTGATAGTTAAGTAAAAAACATAATAATATCTAAGTAGTAAGTAATAATAATAATAATAATTCATACGTTTTTTAGTGAACCAAAAAAAAAAATTCAAATGTGAACAGGGTGTTTAGTGTTGTGTTGTTATAATATTATAGTTGGATGCTTGTTATTTTTCTTAAATGGGCATAATTTTTTTAAATTACATACCTAATTCTTACTTATCCTACATTATAAGGCCATTAACAACTAATTAATTAATCTATTCTATGCTTTAAGCCTTTAAGTATATTATTATTATATATTATTAATTATTATATATTATTATTATATATTATTTATTATCGATTTGAACAAACATTTTTTTTCTAATTTGTAATTAACGCTTTTAAATATGTCAAATGTTAAATATATTTTATTTAATGTAGAAAAATGTGTATGCATAAATTAAAATGTCACCTATTAGTTAATATTATAACCTAACCTAAGGTTACCTTAATAGGCTACCCTAATACACCATATATATATGCATTTATAAAAGTTTATAATCTATTATAAATATATATTATCTATTTATACCTATTACATATCTATATTATTTAATTAACTATTACCTGATTTACCACATAGTAGGTATTTATTTCAAAAGGCTTGGCTAGTAAGGTAACTAAATATACCATATATTATAATTTATAGAAAATAATATACTAAATACATTCTTTCTCACATAATCACCTTGATAAAAATAATAAATTTATAAAAGGTTACGTATAAAAATGTCGTTACTCTCGAGACCCGGGTTCACCAACTATAGACACTATAGTAAGTATAATATCATTATTAAAATATTTATATTGTATTAAAAATATAAATATTTGTTGTATAAATATGAGTTACGATAAATTATAATATTAGTTTATATAGTAATAATCTCGACATTGATCGATTGACTTTTCTCTTAATCCGGTCATACC